TCGAGGAGAAAAAAGTATTTTTCTCGTTCAAAATGCATTCTTAAACAAAACCGACTACAGTTTCGTATCCGAATCAGAATCAAATTCTGCATAGAATAATGTATATTTCAAAGAAACCTGCAAAAAAAAGTTTTTCGATGTTCCAAGGGGGAGGGGCGGGATCCGAAACTTTTTCGCAAGAAATAAAAGTCGTTTTTTCGAAAAACTAAATGCATCATTTTATTCAGAATTCGATGCTGATTTTAATCATATAGATTTTTCTTCAAAGTTTTTTGAGCCGATGGCATCGCTTATCCACGTCCTTTTGCTTGATAAGAAGTTAACTTTGGCTCAATTTACATTCGCTGCCACCAATCCTAGACTTCAGTGCCCAGTGCCAGTTATGACAACAGATTTATTTTACCATGTAAAATTAAGTTTTTGCTGCAATGTATGAGTTCGAATTGTGAGATCGAGCTCTACAAATCTATGCCGGTCTCGGTTCTCCAACTTCAGTAACTTAGTGGAATAACTCTTGTTTGACTGTTTTTCTTGAGAATTAAAAAATGTATACCTCAGTCAGAATCAATCACAGCTGCCTCGAAATATCAAGATATACTATATTTTATGTACAGTATAGCTTGGAATGTTAAAAACCGAGAGAAAGTATCCGTAAAAATAGTTGTTCAGAAATATTTTCCGAGCATTTTTAAGGCTACTGCACCTGATTATTAGATTACAGAGCATGAACTGACATACAGTTGTAATGCACTCGCCGTGGGATATGAGAAAAACAGGTTTTCACTTTTGGTTGAGCACTTCCCAAAAAAAGTTAAGAATCCTGTGGTATTTTTCTGGAAATACTCAACCAAAGGCGAAAACCTGTTTTTCTCACATCCCACGGCGAGTGCATTAAAAATGTATGCCAGTTCACGCTCTATAACCCAGCGGAATAGCGCAGTACGTGCTTAAACTTTAAAAAACGAGGAGCATAGCCTTTGTTAGCTATTTTTTATAGTTAAACGTTTTTAAATCTCATGGGCAACCACTTCATCGGATAAAAGTTGAAAAGACACGTCGAATACATACCTTGTTGTCTTCTTTTGGCTTGACTTCGTGGGGAAAATATGATTCACAAAGCAAGCCTATTTTTCGAAAAAGCAATCTTTCTGTTAAAAAAATTCTTATGAGACTCTTTTTAACATTTTGTAATTTTTTATCTGTTAGAGATTCTATAACCCTACATATATAGATTTTTAATGCGCTTTAACGAAACGTTCTTTTCCTCAAACAATAAATATTTATACTTATTTCCCTAGGAAAACGAAGTACTACTTACTTTTGCTAATTCTTTCTCATAATTACTAAGTTTTGTATGATATTCTCTTAATTCCAATGTTTGTGAAGATATTTTAGCATTTAATCGATCTGTAAAATACCAATGATCTATTGAAAATATCACTCCATCGTATGGAAATAACTTACTAAATACGTCGTTCATTTTTGTCTTATCTATCTTATCACCTTCAAATATTTCTACAAGACGTTTTCTTTTCTTATCAAAATCTCCCATTTTCGCTCTCAAATCTTCATTAGCAGTAACAAGTGATTTATATTGTTCTCTTGATTGATTGACCTCTTGAATTATTCTTCTAATGGCTTGTTTATAATTTGCAATTTCACGTTGAAAATAATCAAACCAACCTTCAATATCTTCATCTCTTTAAAGAAAAATTCATCTATCTATAGTTGAAATAAATTCAAATTATAATATACCTTCGTGGCGGATAAATATTTGTCAACATTGCTCTGTATTCAGTTGGAATATCGTCCAAATCGTATGGATTGATGAGTGGTACACGAAATCTTAAACGGTTCGTACTCTAAAACCCGACATTCATGTCTTGGGACTGTATATTTTTTTCCAAGAAATTATCTTACTTCGACTGTTCGTTCTGCAAATTGCATAGATGGCATGTACTATATTGAAATAGAAATGTTTGAATGAATCATTTTCAGGGTATTCATAGCTTACTTACTTCAACTGTTCGATTTGTTGTCACAACTTGCGGCTGTAGCACAGTCTGAGATGCTAGCTGAAGAAGAATAAAAACTATGAAAAATTGTGAGATTGATTAAAGTGGATAATTCTTATTTTTTTCAGACAAAAATATCACTTTCTTATCAAATGACAAATCTTTGTTCTCATCTACTTTTCATACCATTGTTGATGGTACATAAACCAAAGGCGAGTGAGATTTCACTATCCATCGACGACTTATAGACATTAATTTTAATTATGTGTTGGTCTTAACAAATAGTAACTGCTGCGATTCTTTTTTTATAGAAAAAAAACTTTTAAATTTAACATCCTCGTAAGATCGTTAACAATTGAATATAAAGCCAAGTAAAAAAAGGTTTGTATATACAGAAAAAAAGGAAACAAATTTGATCTATAAGTTGCTGCTGTTATTCTGTTTACTTCCACTGTTGTATGTACACATAATTATGTGTTCAGAAAAGAGAAATAAAAAATATGCTATTTGTATAGAAAGAAACGATTCATTATTTAACATTGGAAATCTAACTTCGTCAGCATACTTTACTGCCAGTCTTTTAAAAGACCGGAGACTATCGGGCTGGTCTCTGATCTTCTATCCCGAACAGAATCGAGTCAGTATCTAAATCAGTATATACATCCCGATTCCCAAGCAAATATCACCTATGGCAAAAATCTAGATACATTTCGTCTATAATCGGGCGATACACGACTAGTTGTCATCTAGATTACTAGTTGGAAAAGGGACTTTTAACTAGATGCTTCTTCAGGTGCATCTAGTAAAGTTAAATCGATCAATTATCGAGCGATAAATCGATAGTTGCAACTAGAAAAAAATCTAGTAATCGCCCAATTACTAGATTTCCATTGTCGTTACACAGTAGTTGCAATCGAGTAAAAATCTAGTAATCTAGATGAATCGGGCGATACTAGATT